ATGCCAATGTCTGTTCTCTGCCCATCATAACTGCAGTAATGACATACTGTATAACCCCTGTCTTGGCCCTATCCATTTTATCATGTCATGTTCTGATGTGGCAGAACCAACACCTACAGGGTAACATCAGATAGATAGATGGCAGATCACCAGATTCACGGCACATGTACTAGCTATTAACTTTTAGCATATAGTACTTGAATTACGGTGTAACAGTGTAGGTGAGGTGCCTTGAAAAACTACTGAGTATGCAAATAGTTATCAAGTAAGTTTGGCACATATTCAAGTGCTTTTTCCTGCATGCTTGAAATTAAAGTACATACATAGGGAGTTTATAACAATTAAGTCACTTCTATCCTCTATTCCATCCAGATATGGTGATGAACTGTAGTTATCCTTGTTTAGATTTTTAAAGGCTAACTCCAATCAACATTCTTGCACAACTTTCATGCCAAAGAAGTGCTCACATACATGTATGCAATAAATTCATAAACCAAAGATAGATCAAGATGCACATGTTGATTTAAGACTGGTTGTTTAGGGATTCAACGATAGCCCAAACAGTTTTGACCCATTTGTTGCATTCTTGAGGATTTCAGATCCCATGCAATCTTAAATGACATAACAATTGTATCCTGAATGGTGGAATGCACCCTGGTAAGGGATTCAGCAGTATCAAAAATGATGACCATTGGGTCCTGGTAACTCCATACATAGACTAGTAATGCCCCCTATCAAGTTGCATCAGAACTGCAATTATCTGTACTGTAAACTCTACAATTGAAAGGGATTAACATTAGATGATGAAATTTAGACAGCACTTGAAGAGAATTCATCTTGGTGCACTAGACTAGGCCATTTCCATATATGACTTACATTTCCACAGCTTTCTATTCTACAACTGTTTTGGAGGTTCCTAGCCTCACTGAAAATAACACAATAAAAATGTGGCCATGTATTACGTGTAGGTGATTGTTCCTTACCACAACTGTACAGAGGCTGCAGACTTTCTTCTGCTCGTACGGTACCGACTGTGGGGTGTCGTCCTCCCCCCCACCTGTCAGGTGCTTCAGGGTGCTCATGTCAGCTGCCTTCTCCCGCCGCTGCTCCAGCTGCTCCAGGTGTCGGCGGCTGCTCTCGTCATGCTACTCAGAAACCATGGAACAGGATTCATTGTCAGACAAGGCATTTGGCCAGTGCAAAAGACCTTAGTTAAACATCTCAGTTGTAATAGAAACTACACTGATTTTGAGAAGCTTCTATGCACTAGCTTCTGTATCTTACATTATACATGTATGTGATGCCAGATAACACAGAGATAACCAGACACATTACAGAAACACTATAATGTAACTATACATGTTAAAAAGATGGAAAAAGGCTACCTTCATTTGTATTTTCTTCTGTAGCTCCTCCAGGTTGGCTTGCTGGGCGGCATTTAGGGCAATCATTCTCTGTTCCCGTTCTCTGTAAACCATTGAAATATGACACAAAGTATTTCAAGGTAAAATGAAACAGCCATCCTGAACTGAAGCATAATGCTTTTCAAGTAGCTAGTTGTAATGCAATGCGGCTTTACCAATAGAAAAGCTTTTGGAGGCCAGGTACATTGTATGCACTACATTATACGTATGAACCCCCCAGAAAAATACTATCCTGACGTAAATGGTCAACAGTTTCTACCTGGCCCGTTCTCTGGTTGCCTTCTCCCTGGCCTTGTCCTTCTCTAACTTCTGTTGTTCAATCCTGGCCTCTTGTTCCTCCCGTTTGTTGATGAGTTCCTGCACACGTGCCTGTCTCTCCGCCTCCAATGCCTTCCTGCGCTCCTGCACTGCTTCTTCTTTAGCTGCCTTCTCTTCCTGCTTCTTCTGACGCATATCCTACATGGTTAAAGAAATTAACAATGTTCCTCAATTAGCACTGGAACAACCATGCATTGTATTAAAACTTGAAACTGAAATTTGAAAAGGATTCACAGTGTATTTGCAATGTTAAGCCATCCTTTGCCAGCAGGTTGGCACAAAGTTTTAGTGTACTGCTTGATACATGTGGTTGTAATTCTGATCAAAGTAGATAGGGGGCACTGCTAGTACATAAGGAGATCACACCTACCAGCAGCTCCTGTAGTCTGGACTCCACCAGCTGGTAGCGAGTCATGATGTCATGCCGTTTGTTCTGTGCTTCCAGGGTGTTGATGAAAGCGATTTCATTGGCCTGCAGGGAAGATGATTAACCGGTCACAACACTTCAATACCTTCTGTCTCTAGTTTCTAGTTTTAAACTTTCAAAAATATCTCCTATATAGTGTTGTATCTCAAAATACTTGTCAACAAATTAAGAAAGTGAATCACACTGAGTCAAAAACTACAACACTAATGGGGTTATGTGGAGTAACGGCAGAGCATTCCGCTCGGAGGTCCCGGGTTCGAATCCTGCAAAGTCACAGACCTTGTGCCGTGGGGAAAGGCGCTTTATACGATTACGCTTTCCTCACTTTGCTCAGGTTAAAATGATTAAGCCATAATGATCATTATCATGATTGTAAGCATTCAAGGGAAACTTAAGCAAATCATAAAAAGAGAATAAGGGAAAAGTTGCCATCATGGCGAAGTTTTGCCACCCACCTTGGCCTCCTCCTCCTGTGCCTTCCTGACCACAGCCTGGAGCTGCAGCAGACGTTTTCTCTCTGCTCGCTCCAGCTTCTCATCCATGGCCAGCCGCTTCTCATCTAACAACTGCTCCTTCCACTCACGAACCTCCTTTATCTGTTGGGGACCACAGAAGGGGGAGATATTTATCATACAATATAAGACCTAAGAGTCCTAAAATTCAATGAGTCTTTTGAGCTGATTATAGAGAATTTCTAGTTTTCAACAAACTGATCTATCAAGAAGGAAACAAATACCAGTGTTCTAGCCAGCGTCTGTCTTTCTGTCATTTTGCCGCTCTTGACGGACAGACAAAAATTTTGACCAATCTGTCATCTTTGATGGACAAGAATTGGTGTGTAGAGATATAGAAAGAGATGTCATTAAACTAAGATTAGTCTACCGGCAACAATTCCCCCTCAAACTGCTGGAAATAGCATTTCAGAGGGTAAAGATTTAAAATTTCCCAGGGGAACATGCCAAAGACTCCAACAGACTGTTGCACTTCAGTGATAGACACGATGTTACAGCAAACAAAATTAAAATGACAGAAAAAATTACAGTCTGGTTAGAACACTAAACTGATCTTTCAAGAAGAAAATATGCATAGTACATGCTAGAAGACAAACAAGAATAGTACTGACCCTTTCCTCCAGCTGCTGTAGTTTACACTGTTGTTCTGTCTTCAGCCTTTCTCTCAGGGCTGCAGCCTTGGCCTGCTTCTCCTTGTGCTTCTTCCAAGACTCAGCCAACGGCCTGGGGACACAAGTACACTCACAATTGAAGGCATTCAATGTAAGATTTGGTGAGCACAACGGAAGATATTTTCAAAAGGTTCACAATTTTTGGTGGTACCAGAAAATGCAAGCTAGCCGGGTGCAATGGACAAATTTCTTCTAGAGTGGTCATAGATAGAGCTTACTTTTTCCTGGATGGTGAGGAGAGTTTCTCGTGCATGTGGAGTGCGCGGCCCGGGGGTCTGCTCTCAAAATCCTCCACCATCTCTCCCCAGGACGTGCTCTCCCGGTACTGTGCCCCTGCTACACAAAAAGAAGCCACATACGAGAGTGTATCATGTGAGGGTTGCACTTCTTTTACAGAGCAGTTTCACTTACACTCCCTTTCCTGAGCAACCAAAGATTTGACAGATTTCTCAACAAAAAAATTTAAAACAAACAAATTTCAGTGTAACCTATAAGATAACAATGTTCTATGTCATACCTGGGCAGTGATAACATTCGATACGGGAGTTCTGGCCCATGTGATAACTAGCAGTGCAGCCTGGGGTTCTATTTGGTTATCAATAGAATGATACAAACTGGTTTCGCCTGAGTCGCATGCACCGTTTTCGAAAATTTCAACACTGGATTCTGACGTTGAAATTAATGTTGTTGCATTTTTTGGCTTGGGGACACCAAATTTTGGTACATTTCACATTGAAAGGCATGTCATACAAGGTACTTATATTCCACATCACCTCCGGCTGGTATTCTACCTTGGGTGATACGGAATACACCGTGTTGTATTCTACCCGGTATATATATATGTACATATGTAGCATATATGGTGTACAAGCGTAATTTACCTTCACCTTGTCCCATTCTTATCTTGAGGATAAGGGACACTATGGTTGCTTCCAGCACCAACAAAGGTATTTATAGCTTGAACAAAATATAAAAAGCAAAATCTCTCTTTACCTTCGTATTCAGCCATTATCTCTGTCCAGTCTAGGGGTTGGCCAGTGGAGTCAAGAGAGGCCTGAACAAGCAGAATATTTATTTAGAATGTTTTCTCAACAAAAGTAAAAGTATTCCTACAACCCAAGCATCAAAGTACCCACAATCAGGTTGTAACAGCGTTAAAGATCTTTCTCAAAATATACAAACAGATACTATCATAGACAAGTTGTATTGCTCTCAAAATTTCAAATGTGACTTTTACAGAAAATTCTTTATAACACAGCATCAACTTTGTCATATTTTGCAAGGACACACCTCTAAGCTAGTTCATGTTTTGAAGACCACATGTCCAGTGTGATGGGTCATATGTCAAGGTTTAAGTCCCCTGGATAAAAGAATGGCCAGGGGCCTTCAACTTTTACATATTGCCCACAATGATATCACATTGCACATGCACGCTTCAAACCGTGAACTAGCCTATTCCTAGAGGTGGCAAAACACATGAACATCATTACCACATGAGCCTGTACCTTTCAATGTCATAATAAGATATATGAAATATGTAGTTTCTTGCTTCAAACACATGTAGACATCATGAATTGTGAAACTTTTTCTAATACAGTTGCAGCAAATGCTGCTTTATGAAATTCAATTATACATCCTGCGTCCCTGTATATTTCCTTTCAATACTGTATAATCATAAAAGAGCAACATACATCAAACATCATTCTTATACATACTTGAATTTGAAAAAAAAATGTGAGTAAAGAGTTGAGCATAATTGGGTTAGTAGAACATAATGGATTAGGGTATAATTTCTAATCTAAACATTAACAAATAGATTAATCAGCAGACAGATTACCGACTACCAACAGATGATTGATGGCTGAGATTGCCTTATCCCCATATAGAGATCAGCCATCACCACATTTAGTTAGATTATGCATTGACTATGAGAGAACAAACATGCATGATCTGGCTGCCATGCTTTTGAGAATGTGTGTGGCGACGCAGTCTTACGGAGGGAGGGTGCGGTAGAGACCGTCCTTCAGCCTCAGACTGGGCTATACGACCGTCTGCACGACATGGCAGGCCTGCGCTATCCTGCGTGTCCGCAGACTCTACCAATGGGGGCTCTGGTTTGGGCTCATAGGAACTTTCGGCCTCTATAGTACTGCTGGAATGGTCATCCTACATGTGTGTACACACCGACAGGATCACAGCATGACACAGAGCCAACAATTACCAACCACGGAACACTGGGGATTAGTACATGCAGGATTAAATCAACAAACGGAACGTGCAACGGGGGATAATTCTAGGAAATATAAAAATATAACAGCTGATTTTTTGGGAGATTTATTTTTTGCTATTAAACGTATAATGTACAAGACTAGGGTAGAGACAGCCTGTGAATAGGAAGACTACTATGTATACTTGTATACAATGAAGATGGTCTTGATGAAGTAATTTCTGTAATGAGTTGGGGATAACAGGATAAAGGGTTACAAGTACAAACACAAATGTTAGAATACCACACACATGTACAATGTTATGCAATGAGGCAATTTGATCACATTTATGAACCTTTATGACAAGCTATACTTTAATAAGGGGTATATACATGTACTATTACAGGCAATAGGTCTTTATATTAGTACTGTGGCAATGAGAGCAAATAATGTGATGTTTTAACCTACTGGCTCGGCTGTATTTTGGGGGGGGGGATATTGGCATTTCTAATCTTTGAGTCATTCCAGAATTTCATAACATACCCATTTTTGTCCATGAAGATGATAAAACGAGGACAATTTTTGTCTATCACAAAGAGTCATTTTCTGACAGACAGGAGATAGCAACCTTCATTGAGCACTTTCCTATATTGCCTGTAGCATGAGTGTACATGTACATACCCCTGCACAACAGCATGATCATCCAACAAAACAAATCACATTTAACACGTGACTATAAAATAGGCTCCGCCTATCAGGCATCGCCAAAAATACCAATATTCAAAACACACAACAAGAAAAGAAACGTTCTACTTCCTGAATGACACCTACCTTGTTGGAACAACGGCTAGACTTAGCGTTCTGATGATAAGCAAACAAAGATGCACAGAAGATGGACAAGCAGAAGAAAGGTGAATTAAGGTCTTAAAAACTACAAGTATGGAAATGATACAAAATTTTACTTCTAGAGCAAGCAGCCAAGTTATTAGTGACTTGTAGTTGAAAAAGCTACATAGTTCTTTGAGCATGTTAGTACTAAGACAGTGCAGTTTCATGCAGTAGAATATGAAATCAAGCAAAGTAGAAATTAAAGGTTGAAAAAACTGCATGCATTATAAGGCCAATATTTTAATCTACAGCAGCTACATGCACATATAAAATAGTACAGAAGAAGGTTATCAGACATGGCTGGCAGAAAAAGATGAAAGGAACAAGTATTACAGTCATTTAAGTCAAACTTTTCCTTCATTCCATCGTAAGGAGATGCAAAAAAAGTTATAAGTTACTCATGAATCATGCTGGCTTTTGAAAGCTTGCACATGCATTAATAATACATGACTGTATTGATATTTAAAAAAAAAGGCATACACACTTGTATAATGCAATATTTAAAAAAAAATGATTCTGAACATCTTACCCCAAGATCACTCTCCCCATCCCTGTCAGTGTCCACCAGGATTGGAGCCTTTTCTTCCTCCTCTATCTGCTTGGAGAGGGAGCGCTCCTCTTCCATGGCCCAGGCGATAGCCTCGTCCTGGTAAGCCTGCAGCTTGGAGGCTAGCTCCTCCTCCTGCTTCTCTATGGCTGCCACCGTCTGTTATTAAACGTTTCAAAAGTTAAAATCCTTCCCACTCCATTTGGTGTACATGATCGTTATACAAGGCAGCACAGAAAAATGTCATCAATAGTTCACATAGATCATCTATACTGTACAATGTAGGAAGAGCCTAGTGTGAATGGTGTGGAAGTTAAACACACTGACACTGTGCTACCAGTGGACTAGCTTCCATACTGTAGTATTATCTCCATGTGTTGCCAAAACACCTAAGGACTTCAACTTATTATTAAAACTTTACAAAAAAAGGAACTTTAGGTAACCTTACTTGTGAGTGATGACAAACAAATTTACAAATGAGATTGCGAGGAGAATGAAGGTGGATCACTCAAACAAACAAACTCACATCATCTAGTGCAGAATCAAGAATGTCATCATCATCATCATCCTCTTCTTCCTCATGATGTGTAAAGTCCTCTGTAATCTTTATATCACTGTCCAGAGGCAAACCATTCTCCCCTACTGTCTTCTCACTTTCCATCGCTTCCTCTTGTGGGCTTTTGTCAAGTTTTTCCTGTGCACCATTGTTTTTATTTACATCAGCTTCTGGCTCTGTGATTCCGTTGCTCTGCTCACCGGAGTCTATCAGAATCAGTTTCTTCAAGAGATCGTCGACTACGTCTTTTGTAGGAGATGGTGGGGTATCGGCAGCTTCAGCCTGATTGTCTGTTGGGGAATTGTCTGTTTGGGACTTATCGCTGGCCTTCTCACAGCTACTACCAGTTTCTGTTCTTCCTAAATTCTTCACTTTGTCTTCTGTTTTCAGCATCTCAGTTGAGCAAGTTGCTACGTTGCTACTAGGTTTGTTCTTAACCTGTGTCCAAGCATTGTAGACTTCAGTCTTTCCATCGGGCTGACCGTTTATCACCTTCGGTTTGACATCGGTATTAGCTTTCTGTGGATCTAATTTCTTGGTATTCTGTGTGGGTTTTCTGCAGTTCTGAGAAGGGTTGCCAGGTGGCATTACTCTATGAGAAGGTCTGTTCTCCTTCTGACTGTCAGCTCTCTCTCTGTTCAGCTTCTGGTCAGCATTAGGACTGTTTTTAGCACTGTTCTGATGTCTGGCGCTCTTGGGTGCTGTCTGTCTGGAGGGTCTCTGTTGACGACTGTCTGGGTCGCGCCGTCTTCCTCTCTGGACAGTTTCCCAGCCTCCCGAGTCTTCTGTATCTGCATCTATGTTTATAAGGTTAGCACAGTTAGCAAGCTACTTCAACTATATATGCATATATTGATGTAAGACATAAAGTGATGAGGTCACATTAATTTATTTTAAGTTCTCGTACATCTTTTTAAAAGCAAAAATGCATCAAGAGGTGGGATGAAAATCAGGGAAAGGAGGACAACTTGCTATGAATTAAGTACAGTCTTCCTATAGACAATTTTGTTCAGTTTCTGACACAATACCTGTATCACATGTGTTATGAACTGCCTCTTCCTGTACTGCCTTTGGGGATCCCTGTTTGCTTGTATCGGGACTGCTGATTGGCTGAGCCACACTTGGAGCCGAGGGACTCCCCTTCACCTTGTCTGCCCAGGTGCCAGTGGCTCCTGCCACAGTGCTCACAACAGGTGCAGCCACCTGTGGATCCTTGGCAGGTGCAATCTCATCTGCATCTTTCGCAGCTGTTCCAGCTGGTTGCTTAGGGGTCGGTGATATCCTACAAAAAAAACATAGAAGTACAATGTATTTGTGTTAAAAAAAACAGATGTTTCACCTTAGATCTTTGTCTTTATACACGTATCTTTTGATACGCAAAAAAACAATAGTACATACCCCCTTGGCAGAGAATGTCCGCTGAAGTTGAGGCTCCGTGACACGGGACTGGGAGTTACTCGTTCTGACGGTGTCGGACTGGGGCCCAGCGGCCGTCCTGGAGACTTCCTTACCTCCCACGCTAGGGAACTGGGCCTGCATTATACAAGGTTTATTTATCATGAAAATATACTTTGTGTATATACATGTAGCAATCAGCATTTTGTATGTAAATTGGTAAAAAAAAGTCTCAATTTCTCAATGTCATGTACTAGTACTTAATTAACACTGCAAATAAATAATTTACATTTAGACAAGACTTCATGAGTTTTTCATTTGATTATCATGGAACAAAGAAATAGGACAACAGTGTAAACAATACACATCTCCTTTCTACAGATTGGTCAGAAAGAGGGGAGGAATGATCATTAACAACTCACCAGTTGTCAGATTTCTCTAACTGTTTCTGCATTTCAATGTACTCTATCAGTGCCTTGAATTCTCGAGAGTAGTTGTCTAACATCAGCAGCATTTCCTGAGAAAATAAACAAAATAAAACAATCAAATATGCTTTTTTTTTAAATGCAGCAACACCAATCAAAAATATTCCCTCGGACTCTGATACTAAGAGTAGCTTAGTTTTCATTTTAGATAAGCAATACTTCCTTTTCAGTGAGCTGCTTTCAGTAAATTACTATTCAAATCCACACAATAGTTTAACATTGCAGAGTCATATATACAATCCCATTAAATAAAACACCATGAACAAGAAGTTATGTTCTGCCCTTTGGCTTACCTTACACTCCACCACACTCTCATCAGCTTCACATGTTTGGTAGATTTCGTCCACAGCCCTTCGGAGATTGTCGAACAGAAACGCCCAGTAGCGCGCTCGCACATCAGCCTTCTTCCCTTTTGTCTGCCCGGGCGATTTTTTGCGAGGCGACGTCTGTGTCCCTTTACTTCCCTCGGAAGAAGAGTCTCTCTGTGCTGACTTGGACCTCAAACTCTCTGCTGCGTGACTGCCCATGGCTGCAGCTTTGCCTTCCATCTTTTCAGCCTTTGCCTTTTTATTGGACATCTTTCCCTTTCCTGGCGAATGAATGTGAGATTGATTATGACATTAGTTCAAATAATCTAACTACAGACAATGACAATCAGCACACCAATAACTAAAGCTATATTGTTATCCATCCTGTTCTCCATCCTTTATTTTTATGTTACATGTACCTGCAATTAGCCTACAGGCAGGAACTTGCAATAATGATAAGATCATAATACTGGTATGAAATTCAATATGATCTACATGTAGGCATCTTTCTAATACTTTCTTTCTTATGCTCACTTCGCTTAATAAATCTAAACATATCATTACTTTACCTGCAGAGACAGAGGTGTCCATGGGCACCCTCCATGCCACCAGGTTGCGCGCTGACCGCCCTTCACGAGCGACGATCTTGCGGACACCTTCGTAGCTGGTGGATCTCTGCAAGGGTGACTGAGTTTGCTGGAAACAATACAAACAGAGACAACAGTCAGATGTTGACTCAAACACATTAAAGAACCCACCACACTTATCGATAAGAGTACAGGTCCACCCAGATCATGTGAGTGGTTCAACCCTATCACTCAGTAAATGGTTTTACTTCAAGTACTTTAGTATACAAAATTAGACTGTGTGTTTCACCCCAAAACCATTTATGCAATTTAAACAAACAAGCAACATGTAATTTAACTGTGTGGATAGATTACAGTCTATTTTCCCCCAAACTGTTTGGTCTTTACCTAATCTAATAAATGTGTAAATGGTGAAACTATGATACATTTGCCCCTTGACAGGTGTGATCATCATCTTGCAAGGTGACTGGGCTCACAGATTATGTATTGAGAAAGAACATACATGTATGATGTATGTAGTTGCTTTCAACACCTCTCACTTTCACAACAAATGCATTTAAAACTTTAAAGTTTATTACATGCAACCTTGACTTAAGTGACTATTTTTGTCTATCAATTAAGGTGTATGAAGATACTAGTAGATCATAAAGTTGTCAAGATTTGAATCGATAGCTACTTATACACGCTTATACGTAATTCTGGCCGTTCGTTTATGCAGATAGTCTTGTTGCGAATCGCTAAATAAAGTACATGAAGTCATCACATCGACTTTTTCACCCCAAAAGACTGTCTGACGTTCCAAACTAAATTATTATGACAAATTTTGAGATGATCCTTCATTTGTTGAGGGTCGCTTCAGGAGATATTACAAACACAAGTCACTCTGATGTATATGAATGATTCCTCTGTTCCTTTTTACATCGTTTGATTCTTACCTTTCCGTTTCCCTTGGCGGAGTTGGGTCGGCGGTTCGAGTTCCCCCCTCCCCCTCCTGAGCGTTGCCCGCCATTGTTTTTCGGCTTCGCGTTCGAGTTGGACATTTTCTTCCGCCAGTTGTCACTCATCCTGTTGGCAGGATGGCCGGGCTACGCTCTAACACACTCAGTCAGTCACACATGCTATTTGATGAGCTGCGAGTTTTAAAACGATATACGATTCCTTGTCACCACACAGCAAGTAAACAAATATTGTGGTACAGGGTAACCCCAGAACCAAAATTTGACAGAAACTAGCGCGCAGTTCGGAGACAAAGATCGGGTGACTTGAAGCCAAGCTCGTAATTCGTGTCCAGATTCGCATTGTTGGTCCGCAGTGGGGTAGAGCTTTTGGAAAATATCATCGTCTTTGTAAAGAATCAGTTAGAAACTAGCGACAAAAGGCACAATTTAGGGATGCAGATCAGTAATTTTCTCAGGCGTTTAACGTTGATTACCAACTAAGAGTGTCAACAGACTTTACGTTACTGTGATGCCTCCTAGCGAAGGTAAATAGTACTTCAAGTTAATCATTAGCCATCTGCGGTATTTTTGAGCGCGCTTTTCACGAAAAACATTAAGGCCTGAAAATGAGACTATGGCTCCTCATCCAAAAAATATGAATGAAAATTTTGCCTTCAAACACAGAAATATCTTGGAAGAAATATGTTTCTCGTGACGCTTTACCATTTTTCTAATCATGATCGCGCGTTTGACATGTTATAGAGCGGGCTTCAAATATGCATTCTCCCATGCAGAGCTATTCCGCGGCAATACGGATAGCTCTGCATTGGTCTGCATTGGTGAACGAAAATACTAGAAGGTAGGTTATCAATTTTTAACATGCCCGTACCATGCAGGAAAATTGGCTGGAAAGTACATGTTCACGTCACATGTACGGTCATGCAGAAACATCGCACAAAATAGCATTGTACATTACAATACAATATAGGTGCCTAAAAACGTTAATAGAAAGTCAAGTGCTACACTTGAAAATCAGTAGGTAGAAGGTAAATTTACACAGTTAGCAGGTGTCTGATATCGTCTAGAAGTCATCTTTTGCGTGTAACGCTTCTTACCGTCTATTTTATTGCCACCTTCTGTAAGATGCACGGACAACGTCTATCAATTTTAAGAGTTTATTATCAAGATCATAAAAGGCAGTTTCTTCCTGAGCTGAATAATGTATGAACACACCTGTCCTTGGCGCTCATCGGTAGCGACCGGCAATAAGTAGACCTGTCCTTGGTGCTGAACGCCTTCCACACAATATCGCGTCCGTGTACGCCTTGCTACGGTAACCTTGCTACAATGCTATGGCAGTGCATGTTCATGGTGTAGGAAATATGCTAAGAGCCGTCTTGGGCTCTTGTCGTCTTACTAGACGGTCTGCAGTTTCCTTCAGTTAGTTATGAACCACACTATGACATTTTACTGTGGCCTGCACAAGCAATAAAATAGAAGAAAGGACGCCGACAAAAGGGAAGTGGGTAATTGTTCTTCGTGTAATTTGTCTAGGCACGACATTGGCCGAACGTG